GTGGATTTATCGGAGGCTTCGTGGGGAAGGTTTTGCCTGACTCCGTGCTGGGAGAGGAGGCCAATGCCGCCTGCGAGATCTTCGGCATGGTGGGACTCTTTGCAAGTTGCTTCAGATTTCCCTTGACCCCAGTGGTCATAGTGTCGGGCACCAAGTTGACGTTAAACGCTGAGAAGACTGCAAGACATGGCGACACATGGCAGGGATCTGCCTCAGCCTGCCTTCGTGAGTGCATAAGAGCAGCAGGCTGGAGCTGACCGGGACCCGCACGTACAACATCATCTTGCCCGTGGCCTTGTCTTCTTTCACGGCGCTGGCGGTCTCCAACCATCTCTTCCCTCCGATCCTGGAGCAGATCCTGCACCAGGTGCCAGAAAACCAGGGGACTCTGGAGTTGCAGGTTGCCCCGCGTGTCGTCTTTAGGATGGCATCGACCTGGAAGCAGTTGCCGAACTGGCTGAGTTTGCCGACGATGAAGAGCTTAGACTCTGAGAAGCACGTAACATGCGCATTGCTTCAGCAACACAGCTTCAGTCCTCAAGATCAAGGTATGCGAGACTTTGAGGAGGCAGAAGCAGAAGCCCAAAGTGTGGGAAGCCACAGCGAGAAGCAGGTAGAGGGCCAAGCCTCCCAGGATGGATCGCACTTCGAGACAAAGAGGAGCTTCGGTTAACTGTAGAGATGCGATGTTGCGTGCTATTGGGAGCACTAGGGAGAAGTAAAGGAAGCCGCGCGAGTGCTACATGAATGGTTCGAGCTGTAAGACATTTCTAAGTTGAAACATGGATTGCAAAGGGACAGATACGGTGAACGAAAGTCGCGAAAGTTGTTGAGAATGGCAAGATCAGTATCAGCAGCAGTGCAAGCGTCAACTGTAGTGGACGCAGCAAGGACCATACAAAGCACCAGACGCAACAAACAAATCACAGTAACCGAGAAACGGGCAAGAGTCGAATCGGAAGGGAAACGTGAGCTTCAAAGGTCATCCACACTAAGTGTAGTACCGGATAGTAGCGGAAATACATTGCCATGAAAGTTCGCAGGGTCGGTTCAATGACAAAAGAACAGAGTAGCTTAGATGTAGACTGAGTGGTGCAACCAAGCCACAGGACGAATTCGATGGAATCGTGGGGACAGCGGGCTGGTCGCCATTCGACCTTCCAGGTTGTCATCGGAAGACTGGAGGAGCCTCCTACTCCATCCTGCCACGAAGAACGAACGGAACCCGATGGGGCCTAAATCCCTAAACTCCTTTCAGGAAAACATGTTTGATGTCTCCTCCCACGACCGCACGGATCGACGACGTGCCTCCGTCATGGAACAGGTAGCTTCACGTCCGGGCCCCACCTTTGAAGTTGCAGCTGCTGTTGCTGATGCAGCCGCGGCTGCCTCGACGGCTGTTGATGTCGCTGTTGCTTTCAGGATTTACGGCTGTTGCAGATGCCATTGCAGTTGTTGTCGCTGCAGTGGCCTTCGTTGTCGTAGTCGTATTCCAGTAGTAGTACTGCTACTAGTACTAGTACGAGTAGTAGTAGCAGTAGTAGTAGCAGGAGGAGGAGGAGCAGTAGCAGGAGTAGTAGTAGTAGTAGTAGTAGTAGTAGTAGTAGTAGTAGCAGCAGTAACAGCAGCAGCAGCATCAGCAGCAGCAGTAGTAGCAGTAGCAGCAGTAGTAGTGATCGTGGTGCTGGTGGTGGTGGTGGTGGTGGCGGTGGTGACTCAGGTTGGGGTAGGGGTAGGAGTTAGGAGTAGGAACAGGAGTAGGAGTAGGTGTGGTGTAAGAGTCGGAGTTTCTGCCGCCAGTATCATCATTACATTGCAGGTGTTGATGCTGCTGGTGAAATGAAGCCCGTTGTCGTCGCCACATGTTTTTGTTTGTTTTTGGCTATTCCTGTTGGCCTTGCTGTGTCGGGCTTTCGACGCTGTCGCTGCTGCTAGAGCAGCAGTCGTCGCTTTCGCAGGCACTGCTGCAGCAGTTACCGCCGCTGCTGCTGCTGCTGCTGCTGCTGCTGCTGCTGCTGCTGCTGCTTTTCGTTTGCTTCGAGTGTTAAATTAGTTAAGATTTGTTTTGCGGCTTAGGATCGTGTAGTTTGAGATTGAATAATTGCCAGGGGTCGTCACGTTTTCGGGTTGATTCTTCAGTGGTGCTTGGGATGGAGTTGAGGGTTGTGATGCTGGCCTGCTTGGGTTTGGGTATGTTTCCGCCCGTAAAGGTGTTTTGCGGCGATTGATGAAATTTGCGACTCCTCGCAGTTTAGTTTCCGCCCTTTGGTTCGTTATAGGTTTGAGCGTGCCTGTTGAGGTGTTGGGTTTGATGGTTTTGGAGTAAACTTCGTGATAACTTGTGTCCGAGCTTCGGAAGCAGCTCGCGACGCCCATGATCGCAAGCATAACTCGAGTGCCCTTGCCTTCATCCTGCGGCTCAGGCCTGTCCAACCACGGCTTCGTTAAACACCTCTCTAATGGAGGGGGCAGAGGCTGGGCATTGCTCTCGAGTTTCACAGCGCTTGTATGCTCTGAAAGTCCCCCTGCCAGGAATCCGCAGATTCTCCATGACTTCCAGTGGTGTACGCTCCGAAGAGCTGCATGCTGTGGAAAGGACTCTCTGGCCAAGACATGCAGAAGCTCCTCACCATGCTTGTGCTGTCCTGACTTTCATGCAGTGCTTTGCGCAGAGCCAATCTGGAGGAGATACTCGCACTCCTCCAGTGCCAGCAGCAGGTCGCGCCGTGAGTTTTGCGAAGGGAAGGGACATAAGGGGCCTGTGAGACGGTGCTCAGGAGAAGGGCCAGCCAGGCCGGCGGCCACGGCGGCCACGGCGGCCACGGCGGCCACGGCGGCCACGGCCATGGCCACGCGCACGGCCACGGCCATTCCGGGAGGAGGCCTCGCCGCCCCCGCGGCCTCGCATGGTCACAGCAAGCCACACAGAGTGCAGGAATTCGCAACGAGGAGGTCGGAGGGCCTCAGGTCGAAGAATCTCTGCCCGGAGCCCTTCAAGTCGCTCGGCAAAAAGTCTCAGCAGCGGAGCCGAGAAGGAAGCGGAGCCATACAAAATGCAGCGGAAAGCAAAACCCAGCTGCGACGAGACCGAGGTGACGGAGCACAGATCCACTCGCCGAGACATGCCGGTGGGCCTCAGATGGTTTCTGGGAAAGCCAAGCCAGTAGAGAAAGACAAAAAGCCTGTCAGGTCCTCCTCCTTCGCCGGCTGCATTGCAAGAGAAGGTGGCCTTCTGGTTTTGCCCAGTGGAGTCAGGAGATCCATGGCTGGTGCTGCTGCTGAGGCAGAAAATCGGCCTTCTGTCGACGGCGAGGTCACCGCCATGTTCTCTGTGTAAGGCGCCCCGCCCGGGATGCCATCAAGTGCGAGTAGCTGCGAGTGGCAAATCTGAGTCAAAAAACGCCAACGGGCCAACGTACAAGTTTGCCAGAGCACTTCTTCACCGATCCACCTTGAGGGCTTCGGGGGAGGGGTGGGGGGGTAAGGTGGGGTGCAGCCGATCGTTTGGTTTTTGTCGGGAGGGGCCCAGCCTTGGTTGGGGCGCAGGCCCGGGCTGGCTCTTGTACAAGATCGTGTTGGGGTAATTGGGGCCCACTCCGCACTCACGGCAAATTGTGGATCATGCTCGTGCGGTACGTTCTTCAGAGAATGCCCTGCGTTGCTTCTGATTAAACGGATATCCATAGCTGCGTGGCAAGCCGACGTATGTGTTTGTCCGGTCTTTGCTTCGCGTCGCTGTCACTGCTTAGGACGACGTAACCCTGGCTGTCTCCACGGGCGTCCCGACTCCGACTGACGTGTGTCTTCGCTGCCGGAGCAGCCCGCTAGATTTTTTAGAGCAGCGCTCCGTTGCAGTCCTTGCACCGGTTCCTCCCTGTTGCAACAGACGAGCTCTGTTGAAACGGACCACCCCGTCCGACTGCTAAGCAGTCCCGGACTGGGTGAAGGTGTGCGAAGACTTGCACTGTACAGAGCCGAGCAGCAGAAGGCTTCGTCAGTCTAGCTCTCTTGAGAAGGCTTTGGCCAAAGGCCAGTCTGACTTAATATCTCTGCATATCTCTGCCCAGCAGAAAAGTAGTTTCCACAGATCCAGCACAAGAGCCGGCAGCCCCAGATACGGAGAGGGAGGCTCTCGCACGAGAGCGGCGTGACGCTAAGGCTGGACCCGGGCTGCTGGCAACTTGCAGCCACGAGAGCATCGTTAGGCACGTGCATGACGCTGGCTGTGTATCCGGTCCGCAGTTTGAATGATTTGGGCCCGAAGCCTATTCCAGGCTATGGAATCTCGCCGATGACGAAAACTACATTCTGACGCTCCAGGCACGTGCATGGGTCGGTCCTTCGTTCCGCGTTGCTAGCCAGGTGCACATGATATAGCTTGTCGACCTAAAGCCCGCAACCAATCCCAATTCTGCTCCAGCACTGAGCAACGTACATGTGCAGGGCATTGATGAGCGCAACAGCCTCAGCGGGGACAAGGTGACCAGCATTGACTACAACCCTCGAAAACAGGCCTGCCTACTGCCGCCAGGAACAGTCTTGCTAGTCGCAGTATGTTTCAACACGGTAGTTTAGAAAACAGATAAACATGAGTCGTCAGGCAGGAGTCAACGCAGCAGCGCCTGCGAAACACTGGGTTACCCGAAATGGTGAGGGTCATAGGCTTAAGTTAGCGGCTTAAGGTTGAAAGCTGGCAGTGTTTGCGCCGCATGGAGCGCAGCATGCTGCAGTATCGTGCATGTATCTTCTAACTAGTCGGCGACATTAGAAGGCGTGCATCGGTTGCGAAGGCGAGGGAGGGAGAACGGACGAGAACGTCAGACTCCATGTCTTAGTGTGGAGTTCTAACGGCACGAACTGCCCAGAACTAACAACGAGCCAGCCGCGTGTCGTGTCTTGCTGAAGAGCACCCGTTCGAGCTTCCAAATCGGTGGAAGACATGTGCTAGCTGCTACTGCGTAAAATTGCAGGTGCTGGCTTGTGGCACCAGGGGAGGGCGCATGGTCGGCATCTCGGAAGGTCCGACCAAGAAGGGCCAGGCTCTGTTACCTTCCTGCTCACTGGTGCCGCAGTAGGTGTGAGTCATGTTGTGCCTGATGCTTGGGCTCTCCACAGGAACTTGAAAGGTTTTTGGTCTGGCGGGCCTCGTGACGCCATGTCCATCAAGCTCCGTGAGCTAATCCGGAGCATCCGCGCATGCAAGACTGCGGCAGAGGAACGGGCGGTCATAGCCAGAGAATGCGCCTTGATCCGCACCGCCTTCAAAGAGGACGACAACCAGTTCAGACATCGGAATGTCGCAAAGTTGCTTTTCATTCACATGATGGGGTACCCAACCCACTTCGGTCAGATGGAGTGTTTGAAGCTTATTGCTTCGAGCAAGTTTCCCGAGAAGCGCGTAGGATATCTTGGCCTGACTCAGCTTCTGGACGAGAACACGGAGGTCCTCATGCTAGTGACAAACTCAATCAAAAACGATATGAGCAGCGACAATCAGTACGTCACCGGGTTAGCCCTCTGTGCTTTGGGCAACATCGGAAGCAATGAGATGTGCAGAGCCTTGGCTAGGGAGGTGGAGCAGATGATGACGTCCTCCAATCCATACCTCCGGAAAAAGGCAGCATTGTGTGCGATGAGAATCATCCGAAAGGTGGAAGAGATAGAAGACAAATTCAACGGTAAGATTGGGAACCTCCTTGAGGATCGCAACCATGGAGTTCTTCTTGCAGGCTGCTCTTTGCTGACTGCGCTCCTCGAGGTGAACCCTTCTTATGTCAGGGACTTCCGGCGCTACATCCCATCTCTAGTGCGAGCTCTTCGTAACCTGGTCACTTCAGGCTACTCCAACGCTGCAGAGTATGACATCGCAGGCATCACGGACCCCTTCTTGCAGGCCAAAATCCTGCGACTCTTGCGCATCCTGGGGGAGAACAGTGTGGATGCAAGCGATGAGATGAACGATATCCTGGCTCAGGCTAAGGGTTTCCATTCAAAATCAGGCTTCGGGTTTAGTTTAGGGTTTATAGTCGGAGTCCGCTGTGCTTTTGCTTCTCCAACTTTGACTCAGTTTGTCTTAGGGCCTAGCAGTGGGCTTGCCGTGTGAATGCCCAGTGTCAGTCATGGTTGCAGCAAGCCGTCGTATCAAGGAGAGTCGTCGTAGAAGTGAACATGATATTAGCCATGCAAACAACAACAGTAACAAAACCTGTGGCCATGCGCACGGTGGTATCAAGATTGATGAACAGCAACTGTTGTTGTCATCAGACTGGCGATAACAGTAGTAGCTGAACGTTGGCAGCGAGTCCCGTTGCGCTTCTCTGTGGTCCTACCGTGAATGATTCATTTGGCCGTCATCGTTTCGCGTCCCAGTTCCATAGCCGCTTGTGTCCGAGTTGGCACGGTAAACCAGCTACAGGTTGCGGTATCGCAGAACTCGAACCAACAATAGAAGCATTCCGTGGAGTAGACGACATGGTGACAGGTCGCCACCAACACGGAGGGCACCAAGAACACAGGAAATGCAATGTTGTATGAGTGCGTCTTGACTATCATGTCCATCAAGGCAGAGAGCGGACTACGAGTGCTCGGGATCAACATCCTTGGACGCTTCTTGTTGAGTCGGGACAACAACATCCGCTACGTAGCCTTGGCAACCCTACAGCGTGTCGTGAATGTGGACCAGCAGGTCATGCAGCGACATCGCAACACCATCATCGATTGCCTCAAGGATGCGGACATCTCCATCAGAAAGAGGGCATTGGATGTCACCTACTCCTTAGTAGACGAGTCCAACATCAAGAGCATGACCAAGGAATTGCTCAATTACTTGCTCGTGGCAGAGCCAGACTTCAAGGAGGAGCTGTGCAGTCGGGTTTGCCTGGCTGTGGAAAAGTTCTCCCCTAACCGAAGATGGCAGATCGACACGCTCATCAAGGTGATGTGCCTTGGAGGCAACTTCGTCAAAGAGCAGCAGCGAGAGAAGTTCTGCCGGGTTGTGGCAGCGACCCCTGAGCTGCACTCCTACACCGTCATCAAGCTCTACTTCAACATGAAGGAAAGCTTGACCCAGGAGGCACTTGTCCATGTAGGAGTCTGGTGTCTCGGCGAGTTTGGAGACCATCTGGTGTCTGGACGTGCTGTTGGCCCGGACAATCAGCCCATCCGCGTCACTCCTGGGGATGTCTTGGACCTCCTTCATGATGTGGTGCGGAAACCTCCTACGGCTGAGAAGGCGCCTGCAACGCATTGTCTAGTGGCTGCAGCACTGATCAAGCTCGTGACTAGATGCCCGAGTGAGTTCGACCGAATCAAGAAGTTGTTGAGGAGGTTCGACACCAGCCTTCATGTGGACCTACAGCAGCGCTCTTGTGAATTTCTGGAGCTGCTCAGCTCCGAGTGGGACTCTCATCGGGCAGGTATCTTGGACCGAATGCCTGTGCCAGAGAGAGAAATCGGTGGAGCTGAAAGCAGAGATGTAGGCGACTCCTCGATAGACGAAGTGCCTTCTGGTGGTGGTGGTGTTAGAGCCCCTCCAGCTGGGGGCAAAGACTTGCTTGACTTGAACGACCTGCTTGATGCTCCGGCATCGCAGCCTTCAGGACCCGCTCCCGCCGCCCCCTCTGCAAGCGTCGGAGGAGGAGGGGGAGGGGGAGGAGGAGGAGGAGATCTTCTAGACTTGCTGGATGGAGGAGGAGGGGGAGGAGCCGCAGCTCCGGCTCCGGGCCCCGCAGGCGGAGGAGATCTTGGCTTACTTGACATCTTCGGAGGTCAGCAGGAGCCGGCTCCGCCTGTAGCCCAAGAGGCTCCGCCCATGGTGGCCTTCGAGAAGAATGGCTTGAAAATCACCTTCTTCCCGCGCAAAGAGGCGAATGGCGCTTCAACAGTTCTGGCCAGGTTCTCCAACTCCTTGAACGTGCCAATGACCAACTTTAACTTTGAGGCTGCTGTGCCGAAGTATTGTACCTTGAACCTACAGCCAGCAACAGGGCAGGTTCTGCCACCGCAGACGGACTTGGTCACACAAACCATGAACTGTGTGAATTCATCAAACGGCGAGAGGGGCCTGATCATGAAGCTTAGGATTGGATATGTGTGCAATGGCACTCCGGTGCAGGAGATGGGTCAAGTCGGAGGTTTTCCTCCGGGCTTCTGAAAAAAATCTCAGTACTGTTCACATCGCTGCGGAATGAGTTGAACGAGGTGATGGAAAAAGTGTTCTGCAGTGTTTCTGCAGCGCTTCGTGTACAGGCATCCTCAGACATTCCGCGGGTTCGAGACATTCGGCTCAGGTGCAGTGGCGCTGCTGCACACTTTCTGGCACCCCGAAGACCGAGTCCAACTGGCAGGCGTCGCAACTGGATTCCCCCACCTGAACTCCCGATGTAGAACTCCATCAGCATGAAACCACGGCTGAGGCATTTCGTGAATACCCAAGCCTGCAGTGTGACCCGTCGCCTCGATCTGCCGAGGTGCTCCCTGTCATCAGCGTAAGCGACTGCACCATCGACAAGCTGACCTGGGGTCCTGGGGAAAGCCTCGTCCATGTCAGGAGAAGCGGAGTTGCAGGGTCGCGGGATGGAGTCGGAGGTTAAAGCTCCCCAAGCTCCCCTCCGCTGGTGAGATGCGACGTGTGACTTTCAGGACAGACCGGCAGAGCGTCATCCTCTCCGAGGCAGAGTCAACTTCATCCCGCCCAAGCGGCACTGTTTTGATCTTGGTGTTGTCAAACCCATGGCAGGCCCAGCTGAACACCGCCTTCCAAGCACCTATCATGGCAGTTCAAACAGCACCGGCGGAGGCGGGGAAGCTACAAAGGGGCTGTGCGGGCAAGCCTTAGACTCCTTGGCCGGCGTTTTGCAGATCATGATCTATCACACGGAGAAGCAGATGCAGATCGGCCTAAGCTCACCCTTCCGCGTCAAGGCGGGCTCGTCTCGCTCGCGACAGGCTGGCACAACAGGGTTGCTTGTGAGTGCCAGCCGATTCTTCTCAGGGTGTCAGCGTGGGCGGAAGCACGGTTCTCCTGTGGAACAGCAAGCAGGCGAGATGTTTGGCAGATTTGAAAAAGAGAGCGATGGAGACAGCTCGGCCTTTGCAGATCATGCTGTACGACATCGATGTCACAATGCAAGCCTCAGTGTCTCTGACTTCTTGAAGCATGTGCTCTGCTTGTTGAAAGAGAGAATAGCACAAGACGACCAAGTGGGTAGAGCGTTTTTCCCGAACGCGTGGCGAAGCGTTTTTCCGTTGAGGTGCTTTGGACGGCATGCAGAACGTTTCGTGACATCTTGGGTTGTGGTAAGGTTGCATGCTTCTTTTCTCTTAGTGATCTAGTTTAAGATAGGTGCAGTTTTTGTAAAGGCATGGATCAGGGCTAGCCGGAGACGAGGAGTAGGGTAAGATGGTGGTGTGTGGTGCCATGACAGCTTGTCGTCGGAATTGGAAACCTGCTCTCTCCGCGTTCAACCCTCTCGGTGAGATGCAAGCCGAAAAACACAGGACCAGAGGAAGACGCAAACAGCAGAAGAGGACACAAGTTCAGCAACAACCTGAGCTTCACAAACGAGCAACAGCCAGGTCTTGAGTCAGTTTACCCGATCTTACGACATCGTGGCTGCGGCCCTCTTCTGCCAAAGCCGTGGCCTTGAGACAGCCCGGGAGGTTGTGATCGTGGCTCAATTTAAAGCTTCAGGCCATGATCGTGTGGTGGCCATGGCCAGTGGCGCAAAAATCGAATTCGCAAACAAGCAAGGCCGACCTGATAGTGACAATCAGGTTGTACGATGCTTCCAAGGTTCCGTTTTGGGGTTTCCGCATTTTCGCAGGTCATGTGCAGAAAACGATTCAGTTCTCCGAGGAGGCTCGGTAGGAAGTTGTGTGTGTGTGTGTGTGTGACTGCGACACCTGAACCTGCAGGTGGAAGGCTTTCCTACTTGCCTGGATGTCTGCGGTGATTTTTTGGTGGCCTCCACCTCTCTAAATTTCATCAAAGCCGGCTTCCCAACCTTGTCGAGCCCATGACATTCCGGGAATGGCAGCTTGTCAGACGACATGCCTAAGGTCTGGAAGGTTTCCCAGGATAAGCCGAAACCGATAGGTGCTCCGAGGCCAGCAGTGTGAACTTGACGTAGCTAAAAGTGCCTTTGACGAAAGACTGGGGTGGCACCAGTGGTCAGTCTTGCAGCGCACCGCAACCGGATAATCTCTGAGACCGCTGGGTACTCGCGGTGCAGGAAGTTCGAAGGACTTGAGGAGCGGTCGCTCGGCGAAATCAGGCCAGGTCTGCAAGGAACGCCGCCCGAGCACTTCGCATCCCGTGCTGTGCCAGGTCAGTGCGCATCAACAAGACCGGAACTCGAGTGTCGATGCTCGTGGACCAGAGGCAAGCAGCTTCTTGGCATTCCGTGCAAACCTCTTCCAGAATCAATCTTAGCAGGCTCGGCGCCAACGGCCAGCCAACAGAGGGTGGCGCCCTGCGGGTACCTGATGGCCGCATGTTCGTGTACGACACGGACTCCGACAACTTCCTCACGCCTCTCAGCTGGGCATTGCTTGGGATACTATTAGAATCAGGCTGTCGCCTGTGCAGTCTAACATGGCCGATGTTCCTGCTCCTCGTGCGCATGGCCCATCCGACCAATGAGTGGCTTGCTGTAAGTCTGCAAGTCCTCTCAGGTATGCAGTTGGCAAAAGTGGAGAGCTTACTGGAACAGGCCCGTTTTCTTTCGAGTGATAGAGTGCCAAGCGGGCTTAGGCAGTGTCCCCGTAGCTCACTTCTGGGACGCTTCGGACGGTCGGCTTCTGTGCTGCGAAGTCGCCTGGGCCTGAGAGAGCTCGTGCAGGGACCATTGAATCGAAGAACGCGCTTGTGCCGATCATTCAAATCAAAAATGTAAGGTGCCGCAGGCCCTCGCATACGACGGAGAGGACCGTTTCAAGAGCCCTTGCCCCTGCAACGACGCCGTTGTGGCTCCGCAGGCACAGCCTCCGAGTCCCACGGCCGGGAGCATGGAGGACGAGGCCAGTTCGGGGCTTCCCGGTTCAACTTGCAGCCTTTAAAGCCCCGTCAGGCAAAGAACCAGCCACAGCATTGTGCGATGACGTTGTTTGTCGCGAACTCCGAGCAGATTCACCTGCAGGCTCCCGTGTTGCATGTGTTGCCTTAGCATGTGATATATGATATGATTTACATTCTTTACAGTACATAGTACATGCGAGGTTTACTAGGTACTATATACCGTACTGCAGCAGCGCACTCCCAGCTGGTCTTACAGGACAGCATTCCCTGCGTGGATCCAGACCACAGCGTCACTCAAATGCCTGTGGCCCTGATGGTGCCGCGCTCTCAGAAAGTCAACAGATCCGATGAGGCCAACAATTGAGAGGCAAAGCCGCAGTCACATGTCAAGCAGGCAGCAGTTTGAGCTACCGCTTCGATCATCCCAGTGTGTCGCATTTCCGTTCTGTCCCGAAACACACTCCTAAACACTCGGCCACATAGCAGGTGCTGTCTGTGTTGAAGCAAGTACAGAAACAGCTTCGATTCTTTCACCTATTTCATGTCCTCTTGGTGTGAGGTGTGTCTGTGTGTGTGTAGCCAAGTGGCCCCAACTGCCCCCTGTATTATCAACGCGGGTATACAGATGCCACGCACTTCTTACTGCAATGGAATGATGCCCTGGTTTGCTGTTCTATTCCTGGCTGTTGACACGCCCTGTCCCGTATGACCCGGACGGAAATCGAAGGTACTAGTAGGAGCATCGAGTATAATACACAGTAGGAGCAGACAACAATAACAACGACAAGACTGCAGGCCAGTGGTCTTATGTTTAGGGTCTAGGGTTTTGCATCTGTTTTTCAGTTTGGTGAATGGGGCCAGGTTTTTTCTGGGAAAAGGTGCGGTTCAGGTGTCGACTCCCTTTCCACCTCTTCCTGTCTGGTCGTCTATGCGGCAATGCTATAAAATCATCATTTGTTTTAGTATCCGCCTCAAAGGCCTCACGTCTACTTTGCCCGGCAAGGGGAGACAGCCGAGAGTTCTCCGGAGGAGTGCATTAAAGTTAAAGATGTCCAGAGTGGAATATATGTCGGCATGCGTGTACCCTGGGCTCCTCAGAGTGTCTCGCAAGGAGCCAGCATCTTCTCTGGTCAGCCGAACGGTGCTTAGAGACTTTGCTGGTCTGGAGAACATGGACGAAGAGACGACCGCGGCACGATCCCCGGTCTCTTCGAACACCGGACAGCAATCGGCTCATGTTGACCATTTCTCGCAGGCTATGCTCAACTTCTCGTACCACCTGGCCTGTGGAAACACGGATGAGGTGCCAGAATGCTGCTGCCAGACGTGTATCGTTCGGCTCGCATTGGGAGAGTGCTGCTAGATGTCTGCACTGCACATGGTAACATGATTGCTAATGCTAGCACAGCCATGTCCCATTTTCGTGACGGCCCGCAGGCATACAAGAGCGTCAAAGGTGTGCGCTCCACAGGGGTCTGGGAGAGCATGTCCAAGATGTGCGTATCCTGGCTGCATCTTGCGTTTCAGCTTGAAGGAGCTCGCGCTTTTAATTTTGATGTGCTCCGGGTGCATGCGCTGACGAGAACACACGGACATGCAACAATTACACCAGCAGCAAGAACTCGGTTGATGCTAGAGAGCGCATGTTGCCAGACTGTTGTAAGAATATTGATATGCCTGATGCGGAGTGGCTACTGTGAGACTTGTGCTGATGGCGGGTTGCAGACGATGTTCGCCATGGTAGGCATCGATGACAATAACTGCAGGCAGCAACGGCAGGTACAAATAGTGCATGCTGAACTTACTGATGCGACTGGTCAATGCAACGATACGTCCGAAAACAGTCGTTGTTGTTGCTGCTGCCATATACGCCACTCGCCGCCCCCGAAAGTATGCACAATTCGGGCCGGCGAGTGGGATACATGGAGGGTCCTTCAGGCTTGGTGTGATGACGATGCTGCTTGATGCCCGTGCTAGTATGATGTGATGCTACTGGGGTTAAGGGGTGGGGGGGTGATACCGTGCCGCTGACTTCTGCCCAGAGCTCTGTTTCCGCATGTCGTGATGCGCATGAAGCCAGCTGCGCTGTCACACTTCTGCACAGAGATTCTGTCTGTCAAAAACACTGTTCGACTCACACAGATCCGTGGGTTGACAAAATTCCCACTGCCCCCTAGCATGTCGCCTCTGTCTACCCGACGTTGGTCAAGAAGGTTTTCGGCAGCATCAAGCTGCATCAGGTCAACCACCAGGCCGCACAGTTCACTGCCAAGCCCACAGGACACAGATCGAAAAGTACCAACGTGGTAGGAACTCAGGCTCTCGGTACTTGGGCACACTTAAAGAGGTGCTCTCTGTCTCTGCTTGCTATCAAAGATCAAACGCCAAGACTTGTCATCCGGATATCTGGAACAATGCTTTCAGTCATGTCTGGACACACAATTCCGGTGTCTGAACAGGCCCTTGGAGACGGCTTTGGTAGCGGCTCTCCACACGCAGTGAGAAATATCGTACCTCTCCGTTACCATGTGCCTGCATGTTAAGTCTAACCACATGCATGTCAAAAAACTATTTTTTGTTGTTAAGCCTGTTTGTGCCAAAACCACAATGCCAGTCAAATGCATGTCAAGAGTTGCAAAACCTTCCAGGGCGGCGAATTGAGTACATGCCTGGTTGTTGTCGTTGTTGCTGCTGCTGTTGCTGTTTGCGATGATGATGATGATGATGATGACGCCGATGTTGATTCTGTTGATGGTGATGGTTATCATGATGATGACAACAATGTTGATCATGTCGATGATCGACACCATCGTCTTTCGCATGAGGGATATTGCTTCTCGCTGTCTCTGGCAATTCTGCCTGCTTCTGTCAGTGCTGAGGTGAAGACAGGCCGTCTGGATGCCGCCCGCCTGCAATTCGCTTTCTTTTGCTTGGGGATCTTGGCTCAAAGGGCGGCTGCGAGGCAGTGGAGGTCTTGTGGACTTATTAGGCTTCTGTGAGTTTGGGTTAGCTTGAGGGATGATGCGAAGCCTTCGGCCTTGTGTGTAGGCTTCCAGGTCGGGGTGTTGAAGAGAAGGTGCTGCTGGGTACCTGCCCATATCTGAACACGTAAATGCAGCAATGCCAGTCCAGTTGCAAAGCCCTTCAAACCTGCGCAAAAGTAAGTCGACGAGATCCAGCAAGCCGAATTTGCCGCAATGCGTAAGCCCTATGGTAGATGACTCGCCTGCTGAGTGCTGTTTCCAGAAACTGTTTGCACTCTTAGCATTGGGCGCCAGCACAAACGGCGACTGATCAAACTCGGCCAGCTGGAGCCCAATCCGCAAGTTCCCCCAAGAGAAGAATCACAAAGAGGTGGCCCAGAAGTGCCTGGGGCAGATGGGCCACGCCCGTGCAGCCGGGGCGCTCCGTGCTTGCCTGGAACAGGAGCCCGAGGCGCGAAAGGGAGTCAATGACCGGTGAAAGCAAGCACCAGACTTGGAAATGTGTGCTTCGAATAAGACCTGAGGGCAGGGCAACCAAGGCCAAAACTCCCAACCACCCTAGAGCCGAGCCTGGACTTGTGCAGCAGTGGAGCTCGCAGTGCCAGGCACGGTTAGCAATCGTCGCCGTACACTTGGACATGGTCGACCATGCAGAACAGTTGCTGTCAGCCCGGCAAGGTTGAAGACCCAGGAGAAAGCAAGTGCTCAACATGAAACGAAGTGTGGTTCATTGCGATTGCCAGGAAGAAGTGTGGAAGGTATGACCTGCTCAATCAGCTGTACCAGGCCGCAGAATGTAGTCACAGGTCGTAGCACCTGCGCGTCTTGTGAGGCTTGTGGCTCGCCGCATGCTCGGCACAAGAAGATGAGACAAGCCAATAGCGATGCCAGCCTTTTTTGTCGATCGGCCCATCGTTCCTCAGGTGGGAGAAGGCCTTGGAGATTGCAAAGACCAAGGACCGCGACTCAAATCAGAAGGTTGCAAGACGCAGACTTGCGCTGAGAGTCAAGAGCCAAGGATCGTATTCATCTCAAGCCGACCCACTTTGCATATGCGCAGCACTTGGAGGCAGTGGAGGCTAGGAGCCGACGCGCGGTTCGATTTCTGGTCGGTTCTGGCAGTTTAGATGGGCAGGACGTGCAAGGGGCGCTGACTCATTATGAGCTCTCCGGCACCTACCGCACCGAGTCCCCACGACTGTCCGGGGCTTCAGCATACAAGGGCTTCCCCAGCTTTGCTCTTGGTTCGAGCGACCCGCGTCCTCAGGCTCTGCTCCATGGGCATGACGGAGGCTCACTCTCGGCATTGTGTGGCCAGGCGGCCAGGTCAGGAAATGGGGCTTGCAGTGCCTTTTGAGGACCTCGGCAGCTATGTCGAGCAGAGTGACGATTCGCAGCTGCACAGATGGTGCCACTCTCATGCCATGCTCAGTTCACCGGAACTCGACATGAATTACTCAGACATGACCTGAGTGTGATGTCAGGTATGCCCAGTACTTGGAGTCGAAGGCGGATCTCGATGGCGCTTCGCGAGAATATAAGAAGGCAGCGAAAATTGGCCTTTGGCTCCCTAGGCCCTAAGCCCAACCTCTTGTGCGCAAGGCCGGGGACTGGCTGAGCCTCTGCCGCGTCGCCTGCTTCAATGAGGCCGTCCATCCGTAGCTTCGCTTCTTTCCTCCTGCGACATGGGCGCAGGATCTCGAAAGCGCACAAAGAATTTGCGAGGACTCGCAGGACTGAGCTGCGGGATTGCCTTGGCTTCTTGGATGTTTCTTGTTTTGGTTTTTAATTCGCAGGACCAGGCAGCCTGCTACCACCTCGCAAGACATTTGGAGGCCAGGAAAGGTCGCGATGTCGGCACCTGGGCCACTCCACTTCCAAGCATGTGAGGCCGGGGGCAGCTTCAAAGAGGCCATACATTACTTCCAGATGGCCGGACGAGTGGGGCATGCGCTGCGACTAGCCCAGGACTGGCAGCGTAGCCACCAGCCGTGGGAATTCCGCACTGTCGAATCACCAGCTTCAGGAGAACAACTTCGACGGAGACCTCATGAGCTTGGCACTGTCTGCAGATCCTCAGAGCATGGCTCAGGCAGAAGGGAAGGATGTGAACAGAACGCAGCTTTGAGCTGCATCGCATCTACATGACATGGCCTGGAGCAGGCTGCCAAGTACTACGAGCAGCGTGGGCAGCCTCAGAAAGCAGCCGCCACCTCGGCCAGAGCAGGGGTCGTCCTGGAGCCGCCTGAAGTTAAAGAAGCTCCAAGAGCATTTTGGGAACCAGGTCATCCTCTACCAAAAGGCCGGTCAGCAGAAGAGGCCACCCACCCGCGGGCCAGGGGAATCGTTAACCGGTTCTCTTCTTGGCGGGAGCCTTTCGAGCTGCAGGGCACTGGAGCTGTGCTTCTCGGCACGGCTCTTTGATGCACTGCGCAAGATCGCAGATGATCTCAGTGCAGAGAGCGTGGAGAGCTTAGCAGCGATGTACCATGTGCCCGTTCCGGCTTTTCTTCCTGAGCCGGACTTCTTCCCCTTTCACGCCTTCCTTCCTGTCATTGCCATTCAGTGTTGTCGCGCCGCAGCCTGCAGCCGCGTTGTGCTCAGTGATCTGAAACAGAGCGTGCACCCGTTACCAAGCAAGAGAAGCCTGTGTCTCAGAATGCTTCATATGTGCAGCGGCTCAAAGAAGGATGCTTGCCACGGCAGGCCGAGAATGGTGCATTATCCCGACGAGATCGAATATTCAGAGAGGTATCAGGAGAAAGTGCAGTGGTTTTTCTTAAGTACTGGTGTTGCCCGTGCCCTTACCTCGTTGGCTGTGCGCTTTGCAGGATGACAGATTTGAGTACCGCCACGTAATCTTGAACAAGCAGGCTGCAAAGGAGCCATGCAAGTAGCCTCAGTCGGTGCAGGATGTCGTTGACGTTTGATTAGACGTAGCTTCCTTAGCAAAGGGATCAATGCCCCTGTTGTAGCATTGGTGGTGCGCCGATTTGCGCAGGAAGTCTTCAAAATGACCGGGGGCGGCAAGCGCAGGGCGCTCGGCATGTCTTGTCACAAGGCCGCTTGCCTCGCCTAGAAGCTCCAGGCTTTCTTCACGAGGATGAGTGGCGGGGCGCAGCTCTGCCGCATACTGCAATGGCTGGGTTCGTGACAGCCGCCACTGTAGCCATGACACCTCTCCGTGATGAAGGTGGGAGTACAGCAGAGCCGCGGATGGGTCCATTACGAGTTCCACCGCCCTGAGCCACACATTTTGCTTTTCAGGCCAGTTTCGTGAAAATTGTTGCCGACTGACAACTGTGAGTGCAAACTTGCCAGGCGTCCCGTGGGGACGGATCCAGTCACAGGGCGGCCCCCTGCCGCAACAGCTGCCGCAGCCTGATGCCGATGTGAGAGCGTCATAGCCCGTCTTCGGGGCGCAGATTGAATGCCAACTTTCACGACTGTCCCATGCAGATGCCGGCCAAAGACCGCAGCACACGGCGGCATGACCTTGTTTTACGAAGTGCCGAAGACGTCTAATTCGCCATCGGCCCGCTAAACTGCAAGACCATCACCGGCAGCGCTTTGCTGTGTTAGTTTGGTCTTGTGGTTTGAACTTTCCGAGCGAATTTCTGAGGGGAACATGGAAATTCGTTTGTTGCCAATTCAGTGTGCGGATAGCCGCAGATTCTAGAAAAAGCACGACGCATCTGTGGACTTTTTGCCGCAGGCAGTGTTGCGCTGTCACGCTTAGCTGTGCATCCGATTGTAGAGCTCGGTAGAGTTCTCAGATGGATCAACCAGAAGCCGAAGCACGTAGGAAACACTGAAACACACCACAAGATCCAGGACGAGCCTCCTTAAGATCGAAGCTGAACAAAGAGCCCTCGCATCGCTCCCATTGCTTGGCTGATTGCGTCTCTACGTCGGATGCCGGGCCCCAGGCTCGGGTTCCCAACTGGTTCAGCTGGTGGACCTTTTCGTTGGGTTCGGCCTTGCTGGAGCTTTCCTCTTTTCATAGACCAGCGCTGGCCGAGAAAAAAGTCGAGCTTCAGCTTGAGGCGGGTGCCGTGCTGCTACGTCTACCACATTCCGTCTTTTTTTTTGTTCTTCTTGCTGAGGATCCTGCCATACTCGCGAAATGTGGATGCCCAAGAAGATTTCCGTTTTCATGGTATTCATCATCCGCATGTATCAGTACTGCGGAAGGGTTGCAGCAAGCCTGAAGGTGCGGAGTTCTTCATGCAGCACGAGCAGCACGACAAAGCGGTCCACCTGTCTCAGACCTGGATGCGAGATAAAGCTCTGCACAAACTGTGTGAAAGTAATCGGCAGTGACCCTTAAGGCTGTCTATCTCCAAGCAGTATGACCGAGCGGTGCAGCTTCTTGGCACCAGTTCGTTGCTGTGCATTCTTTCCTCACCATGATACGGTGCATCTTCCAGTGCGATCGGAAGACGCCGATGACATGCAAAGGTACTTGTGTGATATCTTGTGATAGAACTCCTGGAAGGCTTTGCACAGAGCACGACGTGCACATCACTGAGGCCTTGCAGCCCACTCGACCGATATGTAATCTGATAATGACAGACGGCTTGCGAGTACTTAGAGCACGGTGTGACGCCCATTGATTATCGACGAGTTTCAGGACATGGCAGAGCGGATGACCCCGGACAAAGGAAGTTCCGAACTGAGAGTGACGAAGCATGACGAAGCCGTCGTGGCAAAGGCAAGGCGTTCCTCAGCTCAGTCCTGCCCGCGCCGAAGGTGTGGACGCGACTTCCAGGTCAGAGATTTTGCAGGACACCTCCCAGTTCTTGGAGCCTCCGTCCCATCCACTGGTCTCCGGAGCATTCCCCTCACCCTGGCGCACGCTTGTGCACGTAGAAGTGGCGGAAGCTCGAAAGCTCACAGAAGCGCTTTGAGGGCTCTTGGGCAGCTGTCCTTGCGAAACATGCCGCTAGAGGACATTGCCAAGCTCTGCAAGAAGCAGGGGTCCTTCCAGCTTGCCTGCAAGAAGTTCACACAGGCGCCGTGAGCACAAGCACACACACGAGCTCCATACAGCCATGCAGACGCACTGTTGGTAATGTGAGGCTGGAGACAAGCTCAAGGCGAGACATGTCCCGGCAACATGGTCTTGCCACATGCACAACAAGCATCGTGCGAAAGGCGATGAAGAGTTTGCTGAACAGCGGTGACACGGAGAAGATCATCTTCTTTGCTGGCACTGCGCGGCAGCGCCACTCTCAGTTGACTCTTGGTAAAAGGCCGGTCAAACCCCACAGGCGGCCTTTGCATGTAGCTCGCTGAGCAAGGCCAGACATCTACGTCTTGGCAGGGTGCGCCCTGATCAGATGTTTGCCATCAACAAGAGGGGAAACATACACTTCATGGCAAGTCATCTGAACCTGGTTCCTGAGGAACTACTTGCAGAGCCTGGACTGTGGGGAGCTGAAGTCTTGTCTTGAAGCCCTGCCCAGCTTGGGGGCAAAAAAAAGGCGGAGGCCCAGCGAAATAGTTCAGCCCCACATCTCAGGGCATGCTGATCCGGACATCATGAAGCAACTCGGTTCAACTGTCAAGACCGTTGCTTCCAGTACGCTGACTGCTCTGCAAACCCAAGGAATATCATTCAGTTCTACAGCAAAGCCAAGGTGGGACACATCATCTCAGATTGCTGTCCCTGCGACATTCGAGCCAGTTTACAGCCAGGCCTACGACAAGTTGGCGTCCTTCTACGATGCCTGTGCTCAGGCGACGAGCTGCAACGGCTGTGTCCCGAGTCGCGACAAGTGCTCGTTAAGGAGGAAGGTGTCCTCGACGAGGATATGCGATAGGGAGTAGTTACGGAGTAGTTCAGCTTCTGATCCTGTGAACCGCCTGTCACAAAATCCGTTGAAGCACGATTCGAGAACTGGAAGTGATCTAAGCACTGGCGAGTCCAGCACAGTAGCTCAAGCACGGAAACTTCAAGCTTTCAAGGACAATTAGGGTTTGCGGCTTTGTGCTTTGTTTTTTCTTATGAGGGCAGGCAGGAGGTTTGAGGGGTTGTTTTCGCTCTAGGACTCTAGGATTTTTTTAGGGTTTAGGGTCTTGGGCTTTTTTGGGGTTTAAGGTCTTTGGCCCTGGAACCTAAAGGTTAGGGGTCGTTCGAATCCGTCTCCTTACTATGCTGGTAGTACACAGGCCAGCCCGCGACGTTTCGGACATGCGATTTCGGTTTGTACGTGTGTGAATCCCGGTTGTGCGAATGTCTGCTTTCCAGGCAACCGACGGTCTGATCTCCCATGCTTAAAGGATCATGGGACTTAGTAAGTAGGGCTATAACTAAGGTAACTATACTTATAACCCCAATTAGGGGACTAACCTTACTTACTAAGTCCCATGGTCCTCCGAAGCGACAGCTGTGCATTACTCCTTTTCTGCAGTTGCATTGCGTTTAGAAGACATCTCAAAGTTGTCAAGGATTCCCAGAAGCCCGCAGGTAGAGATTGATGAGTACAGGGACTACGAGAAGGCGGGCGGCGCTCTCCGAGAGGCCTTGAAGTACATGGCAAAGGTCGGGAGCTGAGGGAGCTGAGCTGTCCCGTCGCGCAAATCTGCGCGGGTCTGCGCGGTCGGAGCGAAGCTGAGGCGGCCGGCGAGACGGCAGAAAGCGACGAGCGAGCGCAGCCGCCGGAGTTGGCTTCCACTGCCTCACCTCTCCCGCTCACGGGATCAAGGGAGGAGGGATGAAGCCGGGGGACCCTTCTGTAGCTGCAACCCTCACGGCCTTCCGACGCCAGGTGATATCTCTGCAGAGTCGGATCGCTCTTGTGGACGAGTTTGCAGGTGTGAGGCCGGGACACTGACACTGTTCGGCGATGTGCCCTTTGATGTGTGGGCTGTTTCAGTACAACGGTGCGATTCGTAGATATAGCATGGTGAGCGAGTGATGTGTGCAGGTGATGTACACACGTTCGCTTGCACAGACAGACCCGCACACAAACACTTACGAAGAGACCACATGAACGTACTGTGGTGAGAGTGGAATCTTAAGCAAGAGTCAGCATGCGGTCTTGCCGAGGAAAATGGCCAAAACCGAGCCAGATCAAATGGTTGCGGTACCAATGCTCAGTTTGACCTGCTCGGCTTCCTCGGTTGTCGAGTGAGAGTTCACAAGGTCTGTGAGAGGATGGTGAGCACGCCAAACATAGACAGCGCTGTCCCGCACCCGGCAAAGCTGCTCCTTGCTGTGCCGCTTGTAGAGAGTTGCTAGCAAGGTCAGAACCGGCGACATTTTCGCACAGCTTGTGGAGTACTACACAGACTTCAATGACTACAACTCTGCATACAGGCGGGAGTACTTGCCATTCTTTTCTTTTCAGTTCTGTTGGTCTGCAGTATCTGCAGACAGCTCTCTTGGCAGGACGGTGGAGCGAATGAGAGAGCACGGCATTGTGCTCACACCGTACCTGGACAGGGCCCTTCTCGAACGCATCTACGGTACCTCGCATGCAGAGTGGCAAATTTGCGAATGTACGCTGTCTTTGTGAAATCCGCTGTGCAGTCCAGGTGCTGTTGGACAGCCACTGCCCGAGTCGGAAGCAGCTCCTGCTGCGCCCGTGGTGAACTGAGACATCTGACGCCAAGTTGTCTAGCCTCCGGTAAGACCACAAGGAAGCGTCTTTCTTTTATGCACCGTGCTGATCTTTATCAGACCTGGTACCCCAAGGTGCACGCAGTATCTTGTAGTAGTCTTCCCATACCAAGCCCGTCCATGCGCGACGCATGCGTCTCTGCCTGCCGCACGAGCTGCCTTGCTCAGGCCGCCGATGGCGAGGACGTGGACGAGGAGATCGCGGAGGAAGACTGATCCCGCAGCTCTCCACCTCTTGCCCACTCGGCCCTCCAGCTCCTCCAACACGGAGTCGATGCTTGTAAATGCAATGCGGGCGATGCAGACATGTACGTGGTATTCAGCACATTTTCGTGGGTGTGACGCTTTTAGTTCTTGTGTCTGCTCGCGAATGTCTCACTGATCTGTCACCTCGCTTACAGCAGCCTCTCAAATTGCGAGACATTGAGTAGGAATCTTTATGGGTGCAGGTCAATGCGAGTTCGAAAGTGACTGGGAAACTCCAGTCCTTCCAAGTCGTAGCTCGGAGTCAAGGCCCAAGCTTCGCATGTCTAAGTGTCCTTCGGATAGCCGGAAGGGTTCAGAAGGATCAGAAACTTGGGCCTTGCTGCCTCTGTGGCAACCTCAGCCGCCGAATTCGTACACGACGGCAGCTCAAGCCGCCACAATGTGTCCAGCTTCGCAGCCAGTTGGAGGATTCATGACATTGCAAACCTATCCAACATGAGTCTGCAGCTCTACAGAGCAGCAGAGACCGATGCCTGCGAGCGAGAATGCAGATGTGCATGGAAGAAAAGGTGGTGAACTACATTGTAATTGTTTCGATGAGACTCTCAGGGGAGAGAGTTCTGAGCCTGGTGAGGCTGCTGGCTACGGAGCGAGGATGGCGAGCGGATCTCTGGAGCTGACCTTGAGGTCTCCAGACGTCGAGAGAGCAAAGCAGAGGTACTCGGCACCGCAATGTGCCCCAAGCAGCGTGGCACAGGTGCCTTTCGAAGGGCTGGAGTTGTTCCACGAGGCTCCGTTGCCTGCGACTCTGCGGGCCTGCATAGTTCAGCGTGCGAGGTCTTGCCGGGTGGAGAGGATATGGAGATGGAGATCCTGGCGCAGCTCCAGGCACCAGTCGTAGTAGCAGTCGTCGGAGCACCGCGAATGGAGGCATTTTTGTTGTCACCACAGGCTTGGCCCTGGCAGCCATCGCAGAGTGGGCGCTGGAAGCAGGACAGGCGGCGTAGTGGCGGCTCCTTGCCGCGAAGATTTTTGAAAAGCAGTGATCAGGACTTCGGCCCAAAGGCCAACTTCAAGAAGCAGCAGGTGAAGGTTCCGGAGACCTGGAAGGGCTTCCCATCCTGGTCCCACCAGCTGCTGTCGAGCCTGCTTTGCAGCCCCTCGGCTTCAGCTTCAGGAAGCAGAGATGAGTGCGGACGGTCATGAGTCCCCTCAGGATCTGAAACGCTGCAGAGTTGTGGTCTCAGTGTGTTACGCGTCGCCCGGGAGGGCCTTAGTCGCCGTGCCTGGTTCTGAGGCTTTGAGGCGGTAGAATGCCTCTCGTTGTGGTGCCCCACTTGAAGTTATGTTTTCTGTCATGGGTGTAGTCTTGTCGGTCATGTCTTACACGGTTCTTTTCCCAATTCAGAGATGAGTAGACGACTGTTGACAAGGAGTCAAAGATGTTTCAAGCTTGGACAGGAGATTTGGAGTCCTGACCTTGCAGGTACGATGCAGACCGGGGAGCTAATCATGCGTTGCATGTAGCTTCGTGGCACTAGTCTCTAGCTGCTTGTCAGTTGCGCGTGTTGGGAAATCCACCGCAAAGGTAGATGACCTGTGGCTGTGGGGGGACAGAATCCTTGGTGTGTCGATGCAGAGTGCGTCGGTCTGCTACCAAGCAGGTGGAGACTTCAGGCTTGGGACGCTTGGGATTTGTGGGTTTCAGGTTTAATGCTTAGATTCCGGGTGCAACGTGCATGCCTTTCGATGGCGTCCGTCTGGCTTTCTAAGGTTTTCACATTTTACGACCCAGCGAACGAGGCCCGCCAGAGACAAAAGACATCAGACATCGAGACACAGAGCTTGCCGCGCAGAGTGCAGAGGTGGTGGTCAGAGTCCCACTGCCGAGACGCTCGGCGTGCGCAGCCATACTTGCTAATTCAGGAGGGATCATGGATAGCTGGGGATGGGTGTTGGGAGACTGCGTGACGCAGGTACTTAATCAGCGGCCGGGTGCGTGTCGACTGGCAACATGGGCTCTTGGCAGAGGAGACCTATATCTTGTTTGGGCTTTTGCTAAGCCAGGCAGCTGCTTGCACTCCACAATCCTGTGAAGGACATCTCTGGACCTCGTGTTGCAATCACTTTCCGCGAACTGACAGAGGCGGGGCGATGCAGAGGAATGAAGTTGTCAACCATGCTCCATCCGCATCGTCATCCGTGAGGCGGTTGCAAGCAGTGAGCTTGGTCAACTAGCCCTCGAGCGAGCAAAGCTGGTGGCGTGGACAACTGAGAAATTTGGCTGCTTTGTTTGGACGGGTACCCTTTTTTTGGAGAATGCTCCCTGAAAGCTCCTTGCATGTCAGGTGCAGACCCGAGGACGGTTCTGAGAGCCGGACAGACTGCCCAAGAGAATCGCAGGAAAAAGTTGACAAGTCATGGGTCTAACTGCTTGCTCTGTAGGAAAGGACGCCGCGTCTCATTACCTCACAACCGGTGCAGCACACCCCCTTGTGCCCCCATCACCTTGCCGAACGATCCACACTGTGGGGGAATAATTTGCAGCAGAGATGCACGCCGAAGAAGCCGAGACTTGGAAGGCTTGCCGATGAAGCAGTTTTGCTGCCCAGCCTCCCGCCGCAAACAGCGCGCTTTGAGGCGACGCTCGCTTAGTGCACTCAGCACGAGCCGAGTTGCGGCCGTAAGCCGGGATCGCGTTCTAGCGACACACCCATGCAGACAGAAAAACTAGAAGAAGCCCAGTTCAGGGCTCAGCCTAGCGGGCCTAGCCTTGCTTTCCTACTTTTCTCGTTTCGCTCCTTCCTCCCTGTCGTCAGGAGCCGATGGTTCATGATGGTTCCTCGGTTAATAACAAACTCGGCTGCACACCCCAACGCCCAAGTGGGCTCCTCGCACAACTGTTGCGCCATGTTGCGCCCTAGACATGAGCGTCCGCCACGGCCCGTTTTTCGCCACTACATGCGTGCAGGCCCCAAGCGAAAGGGTCTCCCTGCTCGACGCCTTCAGCTTGCGTGGCTTCGTGCGTCGCCACCACTCACAGGTGGAGGTGCGCGCGTCATTACATGGCTCGGGCAAAAGGTACGAGCGACGGGCCGGTGTTAGCAGCATTTAGCAGCTTGGCGAGGCTTGTCGCGCGGCTCCTGGCGTGATAAGCACTGCGACCGAGCTCGTGCAAAGCAATCGGGCCACTAACACCGGGTCATTCCGCCGCGTTGGCCGCTTGGGAAGCCAAAAGAAAAGAAGCTGCAGCAGTTCGGTAAGAAAAAGGGGCGGGTGTGGCGGGGGTTTCCGTGCCCGAGGCACGAATGTTGCTGGCCCTGGCAGCAGAGTCCAGCGCCTCGGCGAGGCGACTTGCTGCATTGCCTGACGGTTACGCACCATCCACGGTTCTCGAAGCACTGTTCTGCGTTTTCATGGAGCAGGAGGCCTCAGCGCTTCCGCAAGCTCAACCTTGACTCAGCACGGCCCGCCCGCCCTTGGCGTTACGTCTGCCCGGGCCAGGACGCACCGCAGCCTTCCTCCAGCCTCCGCCTTTCCCGGTTCGGAGGCTGGCGACAGGCCTGATGCCCACCAGTTACGCGGTGCGTTTGACACACACTACAAGGCGTTGCGGGCGGCTTTGGCTATTCTGGACCCCCTCTCGGTCGAAGACGTTCATGAAAACGTTCTTTTGCAGCCTTGCCATGTGTTCCGCACGCCGCCCGCCTTGTGCAAACACTCGCTGCTCCGCGCACTCCGCTTGGTGCTTTGCCTCCTTCATCCTCCTTCGCCTGAAGCCTTAACCACCACGTACCCTCTCATACCCTCTCCTCACCGGATGTTGTGCACCCGTGGAAGCTGTGGCTGTTCCTACCACGCATGCTGTTGTTTCGGCCTGTTGGAAGCCGGCAGAGCCTTACCGCCCACTCCTGCCAGATTTCCTCAGATCTTGCGCGCGGCCACCTAGGGCCGCAAAAGCTCGTCGTGCTTGGCAGCGAGGTCGGAGAGCGCTTCAACGGCGACGCACAACGTTTGGTGCGAAACTTGGTTCGCCTCCGGTCTTACAGAAAGCCGCCAGCCCTGCGGGCCGCTGCGGTTTCCGGCTGTCAGCAGGCGGCAACCACGACCGCATTATCGACTTCGCGCAGGTCGTAGTGCCGAGCCGCCTGCCGCTGCGACCCCAGTTGTAATAGTGGAGCATCGTCCCTAGCATCGTCCGTAGTACCTAAGCTCCCGTAGGACCCACTGACCTGACACGAAGTGGGCAGGACCAAAAATTGAGATGTTTTCACTGCGCGGCCAACTTCACCCGAGCTCACCTTACAGTCGTCATTGTTCCGAGCGCTTCTGCTACGGCGGCTGCGCCTGCCCCTCCCGCTCACCGCAGCCAGATGCCGCTGCCGCCAGCCACATGATGCATGCGGTGACCACCTTGCAGCTTGCCCGCGCTCCGGCGTGTTGCGCTCGTGTGGCGGCTCGAGCGAGCTGCGGCGCATGTTTGCAGGGAGGCCGAGGAGACAGTTGCCACACATGTCCTGGTGCGCGACCTCGGTGGTGGCCCCCCGCCCGGCCGGACGAGCAGCGCATTGAAAGAAGTATTGCTAACGGCCTGCCTTTGTGGGGTGGAGCGCAACTCGCTCTCGACCCAAGCCTGGTGTCGCCCCTCACGGCAGCTGGGATGCCACGCCGTGACAGAGGGATCACTGCCGGTGCAGCCTTAAGGATCGCCGAACGCGCCAGGGCACGGACTTATCCCGAACTCGATTGGTTGTCCTCGGCATTGAGGTTGGGGAGCGGTGGTCCCCAAAGACCGCTGAGTTCGTCCGACTGCTGGCCCAAAGCGGAGCTCGCGCTGCCCCCTTTGCCACGGGCAGAGACCGTATCTGCGTTCGCTTTGCGCTGGTCTGCGCTTCTGTCCTTCGCCGCTGCTCGGTCCTTTGCTGTCTGGCACTGCCAATGTCGACGGAGAGGCTCCCCTCCTAGTGCTGTCTTCGCTGACTCTGTTGCGTCGCCACCCATCGCCAGTCGCCGCCCTTGAGTGTGCATCCCCGTGCCTCAGCCTTGGACTTTACTTTCATTGCAGTAGGGTGTCGCCCTGATTCCAGAACCGGGACTGCGTCGTGACTTGTCGACAGACAAATGCTTCCTTTTCTGTACGCACGCATGTGCTACAGTCGGCAAGGGCGCGATTCGTTGCCATCAGCAATCGTGGTGTGGGGACAACGCTTTCTGATGTGGCCACCTGGCGCACCAAATGCAGTGGTTCAGGGTCAACATGCTCAGTGCCGCTAGGTCGTGGGCACGTTTGCTTTCCATCCCGAGCAGATGCGTAGCTGCGGACGTAGTGCGCGCTCCAGGGTCATGGGTTCACACTTTGGATGCCAAACTTCTCCACATGGGCGTTTCCCATCAAGCAAGCTAGGGGGTAAGCCGTGGTGCTAGCCAGTCTGTCATCCGGAGGTGGTTGCGCCATGCGCGTATTGCTTTAGCATGTCTTAGCCTCGCATGCCAACTCTTCGTACTCAACAGCAGTCCGCGGCATCGAGACTTGACACGATTATGCGCAATGGCAGCCGCACCCCAGTTTGCATTCTTCAGTCCGGCCAGGAGAACTGCTCAAAAAAAAGGTTTTCTTAGCACCTCCGCAATCACATGCAAGCACCAAACGGGCCCTCGAAATTGCGAACAAGGTATGTGTTGCACAAACATCAACTACACATCAACTTCCTCACAACTGTCCCACGCAGAGCGTCTGTAGCATCACATTTCACATGCGACGGCGGCAGAGCACAGCTTTCTGTTGGATCGTGTAAGGTGTTTCATGTTCGACCCGCTGCAGTCACAGTGAACACCTCCTCTCTTGCCTGGATGCATTGCTGCACGCTGATACTGCTTCCGGGTTGCTAGCCTTGGCTGCCGCACGTGCACAGCTCGCGCTGCGCCACGGTGGACTTGGACTCCGCAGCTCCGAGCGCCATGCCGTCGCGGCGTTTTGGGCATCTTGGGCCGATGCACTCCCCGCCATCGCGCGTCAAGACCGTGCCTTCGCCCAAGCCCTCGCGCGCTCTCTGGATGGCCCCGGGCCTTTGCCTCACGCCTTGGCTGCCTCGGGGGATGCCACCACGTCCCTGCAACCTACAGGTTTCCAGGCCCCCACGTGGGATGCTCTGCTTTCGGCGGCGCCCCCTGTGTCAGAAGACGGCCCGCTGATCTTACTCGCGGGTGGCAGCGCCCTGCTTCACGCGCAGTTGA